TTATTCATGTGTCAAAATAAAGCTTAAATAATAATAATAAAAAAAACATCTCTAGATGCGGCTATTGACAACAATGCTCAACATGGTTTCTTACAAAATCGTTCATGTGTGACACAGCTTCTAGGTGTACTACACGACATTGGTAAAAATCTCGATCAAAACAAGCAAACTGATATTCTTTACGTTGACTTCTCAAAAGCGTTTGACTCGGTTGATCACGACATCCTTCTATATAAACTACAAATGCACGGTGTAAACGATTCGCTCTTGCGTTGGTTTGAAAGTTATTTGAGTGACACGACGGCAGCGAGTTGTTATCGAGGGCGCTACCTCGACATGGTCTCCAGTGACGTCAGGTGTACCTCAAGGTAGCATTCTTGGACCGTTGCTTTTTCTCATATTTATCAACGATCTTCCAGTTAATGTTTCGTACGGTACAAACTCAGCACCTCCAGAGGAGGGCAACGTTATGGATATTAGGGAAAAAACGTGGCGAAATGACTTACGTAGAACGCCTAACGGAACTAAATCTTATCCCACTGGTATACGACCGAGAGAAGAAGGACATAATTTTATATTTTAAATGCAAGAACAACTTTGTAGACTTAGATATCTCACAGCATGTCGAAACTACGGCAAGTAGAACACGTGCAGGCACATCTTGCCTTTTACGAACCGCTTTATGAAGAACAAGCACATTAAAAAACTCGTACTTTGTTAGAATTGTAAAACTGTGGAACTATGTATGTAAATCTGCTCCTCCCAACTGCTACGACACTCTTTCCAACTGTAAAGCATACCCACACAAGACTTATCTCCACTTAACAGCCACTGCTTACACTCCTGACGAACCAAACTCGCACTCTTTGATCACGACCAACTGACATCTTCCACTCCTCCATGTATCTCTTTCTACCTCTTCTCTCGTTTCATCTACTGTGCTTCTAACCTTCCATTTCTCTTTTCTATTTCATATATTTTGTAATTTTGTCTGTTCTGTAATATTTAGTAGTGAGCACCCTGCATGGGACATGGTCTCGTTTGTGCTTCGCCTCTTTTGGCACCTGTTTGTTTGATGTTGTCCATATGTTTCTCAAATGTAATAGTCTATGTGTATTATTCATGTGTCAAAATAAAGCTTAAAATATCTCTAGATCCGGCTATTGAACGATGGAAACTCGCAAACGACGATAAAAAGCCAACGCTTGATGACTATGACAACATTCGCGAGGAATGGCGATCAAAAGATCGCGTGACAAAACTTCTCGGTATATTCTCATCGAAACGATTGTTTGCTGACTGGAAAGTCGCAGAACCGGATGATGATTCCAAAAGAGCTAAGGTGACGTGGAAATATTTCGTGACAACAATGCAACAGCACTGCAAACCAACAGAAAATCTTACACTTAAAAACCACCAGTTCCGGTCTTTGGCACAGACGCCCATGAGTTATTTCCGACATTTTGCAATCGCGTATATAAAGCAGCTCAACACTGCAATTTCAATAGCCACAATGACGATTGCCCTGCCGAAGATACAGCCATACGTGACCAGATTATTATTGGCACTACACATGACAAGATCAAAGAGGAAGCCCTCAAAAATTCATGGGACCTCCAACAATTACGCAAGGAAGGAATGCGAATTGAAAGTGCCATCAAAGGACTGAAAGAGCTCAACAATGAAAATCCAGTCAACAAAATGGGTAAATACTCCTTTGAAAACAAGCAGAAAAAACATGAGGCTCGAAAGCCCCGGTCATGTCACTA